AGCTAAAAGAAAATAGTTTTCAGCTGAAAAGAGGCAAATGGATATTGAACTGTTGAATAAACAGTTCAATATTCAATTTTGTGAATATGAAGAAAGTTGTAGCGCATAGTGGACTAAACCATACAAGTGTTGACATCCAGAGCTCAAATAATTTGATCTCGAGAGAAATTCATATTACGTTCACAATGAGGTCTTCTGAGACTTCACTGAAACAAGGTGTCTTGGCAAATCGGAGCAAAGTTTGAGACATTGTTGAGATCTCTTCTAAAATTAGGTATTTTTTTTCTCAGACAAAACATTCTGTGAAGCAAACCTACGCAGAAGGTTTCTGTTTGCTATCTAGGAGAAACTAGAAATGAATGGCGGTGACTCTGATTTTTATCAGTTTGCAAATGTATGTACTCTAATGGACTGAAAATATAGTCATACTCTATGTTTAACGCTGCAAATTTAATTAACCATTCCCATTCACCATTTTATCAAAAAATGTTTTATTTTTAGGTAAAAAAAGAGACATCTGCTTTTTTTTCTGCCCAGTGGAGCAATGAATGAAACTGACTCTCACAAATGTCTACATTCTCTGTCTTTGCCTGGACAAGCTAAGTGCAGAATTAACAGCCTGTGAAGAGATGAAGAGAAAAGAGTGTTTGAACAAACAGCTTATTTCTTTCTGCCTCTCTCCCTCTGTCTCTCTTCTCTCTCAGCAAGGCGACTCAGGTATTGTCTCTATGGCGACTGTAAGGGGGCCAGGCCAGACCACAGCGCCAGGCCCCAAACCACAGCCCATTTAGAATGGAGCAGACTGGTGTTTAAGCTTTACCCACTGGCCCCTCTCCTTTTCCCTCCCCTTAACAGCACAATGCCCCCTTTCAGCCTGGGAGCGGTCCTCCATGAACCAGAGATGACCAGTCTTCACCCCCCCAATATTAACCCCTACCACTAAAGAGCTTAACACTACACACCAGCAGCACAAATACTGAAGAAGAAAATGTGCTGTAGTTTCATTAGGAGTGATGCTTACATCAAGGTGTTTAGTCAAAATAAATTACAACAGAGTGCAATAATGCACTCAAAAATGAAAATCCTGACATTACCTAATCACTCCCATGTCACTTAAAACCTGTATGCCTTTGTGAAATACAAAAGGAGAATTTGGAATCTTCAAAAGTTTTTTTTCAAATGAGGTGACAGCTTTTTGGAGCTTGTCTGTGAAGCTCCAAAAAGCACCACAAAACTAGTCTATATGACTTGTGTACCATTGTTCAAGTCTTCTAAAGACATAAGTCTTTGTCCACTGAAAGTCTTCCCCTCCACTGAATCTTTCAAATCAAATATGGCACTAATAATGTATGATATCATAGACATCCAACCTGGGGCCTTGGTGCCATGTTTGGTTTGAGAGCTACAGCACATAATATTTTAACATTTTTGAGAGATTGACAGATGTGTAAAATAATGACATAATTTTATCAGTGATATTTCAATGATAAATTATTTTATTTTTGATTAAACAAATTGTGGCTTCAGGAACCGGGGGAAAAATGCAAGTGAACACAACCTTTTTATTTTGTTTTTAATCAATTACTCCTCCAATGTCATACAGACCCACCAAATACTCTATTAGATGTGTTTCCCGTTTTGGTGATATGATCTATTAATTGTTAAAATAAATATATTTTTAGTCTGGGCTGTTCAGAATCACTACGGATATGTAGTTCGACCAACTGTGGCTTTAATCCCAGCGTCATGTTTTGTTTGGGTTGTATTTTGTCTCAACAGTGTTTTTGCTTTGCACTCCAAGACACCCTCTCCAGTCTACAGAGGGCTGGAAGGAAGACTTTGGTCTAGAGACCACACACACACGTGCCAGAAGTTAGCTGAGGGCCATATCCTCTTTTCAGACTGTTACCATGTTATTCCACTCCAGTTTTCAGTAATAGGATGAGAAATTCATGGTTATGATTTTCCATATTTAATGGAAGAAAGGTGTCTCACATTATGTGAGCAACTAGGAAAACGTCTCAGGTTACTTATGTAACCTTGGTTCCCTGAGTAGGGAACGAGACACTGCGTCCTCTAGGGGTTGCTATGGGGAACGCCTCGTCGTGACCCGTGTCTGAAGCATACATTCAAAAAACACCAACAACATTGCCGCTTTCGCGCATCCCCTCGATGTTGGCATAACCTGTATGCTGGAACCGGTGGATGCGTGAGGAAAACGGCCTCTTCCATTCATTCTCGATCTCTGTATGTAGATCAGGAAGAAAAGGAAGGCTCACCTGAGCTGGAGGGTTATGGTCAGAAGATAACGCTCATCAAGATGACCTCGCAACGTCACTTTCTTGGCCTGCTTCCACGGCAAGTCAAGCCTCGCCGTGGAGCGATCCATAACCTCCAATAGCTCATCATACGCAAGACAGGAGGATTGGGAGGGCTCAGCCTCAGCCTCTTCGTCCTCCTCAGACATCTCCTGCTCTTCCTGGGCCAAACCCAGAAATTTTAATGTTAGGGAAATAACATCATCCTCCAGTGGCTCACTCTCGTCCACAGCCAACGAACGCGCGAGAGAAAGCCCCTCTTTAAACTCATCGGCCAGATCCACCTGCGATCCCCACGAGCTCATTCTCCTCCGTGCCTCAGCAGTGGCGGGTCCTGAACCGTGGGGAGCAGACGGCTACCCCTCTCTCCTCGAAAAGAGAGACAAACGAGAGCGGAGCTTTTTCATTGAAAAACGCTCACAGTTAACACAGATTGCCCCCTCGAGGACATCGTGTGCGTGCTCTTCGCCCAAACAAAAAACGCAAAGATCATGTGTGTCATCAGGTGTCAAATAACGATGACACGGATGCACACATCTTCTAAATGTCTTGCAGTGAAGAAAGATCGCTCTTACCACGGAATGCACGCTTCAAACAAAACAGTCAATGAAGAGGCATCGAGAAGAAAACCCCTTTCTTTCTTCCCGATGTCTGCCAGGTTTACCCACAGCTGCCTCTCCGTTACTACCATCGCTGCCATAGATCTGCCCATGGCAGAGGCAGCCTGCTTAGTAGCACGAAGAGCAAGATCCGTGGTGCGGCGTAACTCAGCCATCTCATCAGAAGAAAGGCCCTCGCCTTTATCCAGGTCTTTCAGCAGATCAGCCTGGTATGCTTGGAGCACCGCCATCGTGTGCAGTGAAGCAACAGCCTGACCTGCTGCTGCGTATGCCTTGCCATTCATTTTAGATGTAGCTTGAAGAGGCATGGATGGCAAGGAGGGAGTTTTGAGAGATGATGTCTCTCCCATAGAGAGATAGCTAGCTAGCGTCTCTTCTACAGGGGGCATTCTCTCATAGCCGTTTTCGCGCACCGCCTCGATATTCGCATAACTGGTATGCTGAAACCGATGGATGCGTGAGGAAAACGGCTTCTTCCATTCCTTCTCGATCTCAGTATGGAGATCAGGAAGGAAAGGAAGACTCACCTGAGCTGGAGGGTTATGGCCAGAAAGATAACGTTCGTCGAGACGACCTCGCGACGCCACTTCCTTAGTCCGCTTCCATGGCAAGTCAAGTCTTGGCGTGGCGCGATCCATAACCTCTAAGAGCTCATCATACGCAGGGCAGGAGGATTGAGAAGGCTCAGCCTCAGCTTCTTCGCTCTCATCATCCATTTCCTGCTCTTCCTGGTCTGAACCCAGCAGAGCACTGGCCCCTGGATCATATGATGTTAAAGAGAGAACATCATCTTCCAGTGGCTGTCTCTCGCCCCCCGCCGATGAGCGCGAGAAGGAAAATCCCTCTCTAAACTCATCGGCCAGGTCCACCTGAGATCCCCACGAGCTCATTCTCCTCCGTGCCTCAGCAGCGGAGGGTCCTGAACCGCGGGAAGCAGATGGCTGCCCCTCTTACTTTACTCTTTACTTTTCATTGGAAAAAAAACTCGCAATGCACGCAGATTGCCCCCTCGAGGACATCGCGTGCGTGCTCCTCGCCCAAACAAACAACACATAGATCGTGTGTGTCATCTGGTGTCAAATAGCGCTGACACGAATGCACACACCTTCTAAATGCTCTACTAGTGCTCGCCATAATATTAATAGATAGCTCTTACTTTTTCCTTGAAAATGCACGCTTCAAACAGAACAGTCAATGAAGACGAAGAAGAGGATGATGTGTAGCTCCCGGCACCGATTTATACTGTAGTCGCACCGGTAGTGACGTCATGGCTGTCGCCGGCCAACGAGTTGGTGTTTTTTCAATGTATGCTTCAGATACGAGTCACGACGAGGCGTTCCCCATAGCGACCCCTAGAGGACGCAGTTCGAAGTTCCCATGAAAGGGAACTATAGTTTATTAACAAGGAAACTGATTTAGAATAGGGTTTTATGTTACCTTGTTAAAGTTGAATTAGTGAAATGATTCAACTCGTCTCATTTTGAATACATAAAAGGAAAAAAATCCAATGATCAGGACAGAAAAAAAAAATCACATTTAACATCTATTTTGTTTCATAAAAGATCTAAGCAGTGTCTCAAACTGTGCTCACATTTACCAAGACACCCATATCTAGGGTCAAAATTCAGAGATCTCAATATGCTCTCCAACATTTTTTTAAGATCAAAATTTGTATTTCACTGGGAATTTTAAAATAAAAACATCTGAGACAATATTAATACTTAAATGAAATAAAACTCAGATCTTTAATACATCTTCTGGGCTATGAAAGAGCAACCTCGGAGCAATCATATTTTCCTCTGAGCTTTGTTGCAGAATCATATTTGTTGTGTATTCCTAGTTAGATTGAATGACATACCAAGAGCAATATGAACTTTGCTGTCTTTGTCTATTTATTCCGATCTTCTTCTCCAAGCTGGATGTGTCTCTTTTCTCTTTATCCTCTAGAGATGTGTATAATCCCCCCAACCCCCCCCCCCCCCCCCCCCTCCCCCTTCAAACCAAGTCTACGCCATTGACTCTATCTAGAATGCGCATAGCTTTTGGCAAGTCGTTAATATTGTCCATCACAACTTCTCCTTCAATGATGATCTTCAATGAGGTTGGATTGAGATGGAGAGAAGATGAGAGCATGTCACCTTCATGCTCAATGAGGAGGATTCCAATGTCATCAGAGTCCTAACAACATAAGAGCACACTCATGAAATTTCTTATTACATAACCATCAATAATGTTAAGCAATTTGTTACGACTGCTGGAGTTCTGTCTTCAACAATGATTATTTAAATTAGGGACAGAAACGTATGATGTTCCATTAAAAACAGTTTATGCAAAAATTTAAATCTGCTCTTAATTTACACATCCTCAGGCCATCCAAGGTGTAGCTGAGTTTTTCTTCAGTAGAACCTTAAAAGATTATTAGCTGTAACTGTGGTCTTTGGCGATTCATTTAATGCAATCAATGGTTACCATCACTTGGGAGTAAAAAAAACAAACAAACAAAAAACAGGCAAAACAAAATTAATACCCGTGTCTCCTGACGATACATTGAGGTCTTATGAAGCAAAACAATCAGTCTGTGCAAGAAACTGAACATTATTTACAGCATTATTACCTTTAATCCACAGCCCCGGCAAACAGTCCTGAGCGTGTTTACACATGTCATCATCAAAATGGTACTTGCGTGTACTTATCTTGGATCCCACAGCCTTTATAAAAATTACAAATCATTTGCTTGTGCAATCAACTTCAGGAAGATTGCTCATGTGAGTTTGCTCCTGCGCATACATTATTATATGCGACAGGAAACTCACGCTCCAGACTGTCGTGAATGCGCTCAGGACCATTTGCAGAGGTTGTGGATGTTTCTCAGACCAATTGTTTTACTTCGTAAGACCTCAATGTATGGTCAGGATCCACAGGTATTAATTTTGTTCTGCCTGTGCATGTTTTTTTTTAACTATCAAAAATGACAGTTTCCATTGACTGTTTTATATCAATCACCAAGGACCACAGTTTCAGCTAAAAATCTTTAAAGTTTAAATTTTACTTTAAAATGTCATTTTTGGGTGAACTATACTTAAAATTGTATTTCAAAAATTAACTCTTAAAAACTTGAGTCCAAAGGGTTTGTAACGACATGAGGGTGAGCAAATGTTGGATGAACTAACCCTTTAAGCAAACAGATCACCCAAAGTGGCTAAAAGAGCTATCATAATAAGTTAATGGTTTAGGTTTTATTCTCAGAGGTTTTATAAAACACAGGAACTATCAATTAATGGTGAAATGATTATGTTTTTATGTCCTTTTAGATATTCTGAGAGAAAACCGAGGTTACTTACAAAGCATACTTTGTAGAAATCTGTAGGTTTGTCGCCAAATGAATGATAGGGAGTCCTCTGAGCATCAGAGACCTAGTATCAGTCGGCTCTTTAGTCTGTTGGGGAGTAAAATGAATCACTGTTGAATAAAATTAAAGAAATGATCACAAGAAAGCAGAACCAATCAAGCACAATTTTGATTGCATTACACAACCAATATTGTAAACATTTTGTGATACACTTTCATTACTTAAGCTGTTAAAAACTATGCAATGCAAGTCTATAACAGATATGGACCAACCTTGATTTGTTGTGAAAGCTGTCAACAGCTGCCCAACTTTCTCTGGTCAATGATTTCATGCTTGAGATTCTTGCCCATAATCCTGTAACGTTAATTAGATCTCCATGAACACCTAAAACAGAGAAAAAAAGTGTTACATTTCAAGACTAACTGAAACTTTCAGCATACGCATAACCCTTTAAGCTCAACAACTCAGTTGCAGTTATTATAAATAATAAGAGACACAATAATATAGCAAAGAGACAAGCTAACTTAGCTTTAACAAAAAGCTAATTGATGCGCACATGCTGATGTTAAACGACTTTAGCTAAGGGTAATGAAATGCTAACGTTACAGCTAAAATGAACATGCAAAAACACACTTGCTGAATTTATCTTAACTGTGAACCAAAAGAAACTCAGATTTAAATATTAGCAGTATAGCTAAACTGTGAACCGACAGGGGAAACCCGTCGGTCGATCGGCACATTAAGACTACTTTAGCTTTAACTACAGTAACGCTGTCATCGGACCGGTCTTTTGGATAATCAATTTTCCCAGAAAGATAAAGATATAGAAGTTAACACACTCACCATTACATGCTGCTTTCCAAATCCATCGCGTGCATCATCAACCAGAATCTTCAAAGATCGCGCGCTCACTGCTCAAACGTGTTCGAACGGGGCTCCTCCCCCTTACAGAAACTTAACACATTAAACTATCTCTAGTTAACTGTTAACATAATCACTGGATTCAATATTTCGTCTGAAAACTTCAAACAACTAATTATATTTAGTAATGTCAACG